ATTGCTTCTTCGACTTGAGTCACAAATTGGCTGTAAAATCATATATGTTATGTTATTTAATATTGGAATATAAATATATATATATATATATATATATATATATAAGTGTGTATGTTTATATATTTACCTTTTGAAAATAATTAATCAATGGATGCTCGCAATTAAGAAGAATATAAAGGTGTGCACTATGGACGTCTTCATTACTCGACCACCAAAACTCTTTCAGTTTACCACCCAATTTGACAAAAGATGTCTGGAATATCGTCTTCCATATATGTCGGCACGACACCACCATCATCATATCTTCTTGGAGCTCGTTTCCTTGTACGTACTTTCGGTGCAAAGTAGTACGATGTGAAATGTGATGTTTCTTCCGTCAAACTTTCCGCAACAATAGAACCGTCAACTCTTGCTAGGTTTTTGGCATTTCCTTTCAAAGTTTTCATGGCCCTTTCATACTGATACATCCATCCATAATGCACAGGTCCACGAAGTAATGCCTTATACGGAACTAGGTGTTCCATGATGTCGAAAAAAATAGGCAGAAATATTTTCTCCAAGTTGCAGATTAAGACGGGGATGTTTTCATGAAGTTGTTGGACAACTTCCACTATAAGAGTGCAGGTGCTCAGATCCCTAAAAAATGCTCCGATTTTTTTATATATTACAAAAAAAAAAATTATCCACATTAGTATATATATATATGAAATAAATTAATCATATCATCGTATTATATTAATTAGTTAATTACCTGAAAGTGCTTCATGTACTTTTGCCGGTAGTAGCTCCGCAAATGTAAAGGGAAGTAGTCGCTGCATAAAGACATGACAATCATGACTCTTCATCCCGGAGAACTTTTGCCCTTTCTCAACCCATCAGGGAACTTCACTTCTGAAGCCACCCAGTTAAACAACACAGACTTTTTCTCTGATGACAGTCTGAATATTGGAACTGGAACTTGCCCATTGTTTTTTATATGTAGCACACTACTTGAGCAGATATCGGGTAAGTCCAACCTTGATTTTACGTTGTCTTTCGTCTTCCCTGGGACGTTTAATATAGTATTCACAATGTTCTCAAAAAAATTCTCTATATGCATCACATCGAGGTTGTGGCGCAAAAGAAGATCTTTCCAATATGGCAATTCCCAAAATATACTTTTTTGTGCCAATTGTGCTGAAAACCTTAAGAATCATGCATATTACTGGGAACATGCCAATTCCCACCACGAGGAGCTATTTCTAGAGCACCGTAGTAATCGTTTTGCGCTTCGATTTGTTCTCCAGTTAAATATGGAGGAGGAGTGTCTCTGACAACCCTTTTGTGCCTGAACAATTTCTTGTTTATTCGGTATGGGTGGTAAACGGAAAGAAATCGACGGTGACAATCGAACCAACTAGTCTGCCTATCATGCTTCAACTGAAACGCATCTGTCATTCCATTACAATATGGACAAGCTAATCTTCCATGTATAGTTCACCCAGACAACATCCCATATGCAGGAAAGTCACTTATGGTCCATAAAAGCATCGCTTGCATCGTAAGTTTGTCGTTGAACAATCATATGTCCTCACCCCTGTTGACCACAAATCTTTCAACTCTTTTATCAGTGGTTGTAGAAAAACGTCGAGAGATCTTTTTGGATGTTTTCGACCAGGTAATAATATGGTCATGAATAGAAACTCTCGTCGCATGCACATCTCTGGTGGCAGGTTATACGGTGTAAGAAAGACCGACGATAATGAATATTGTCTCCCAGACATTCCAAATGGACTAAATCCATCAGTGCATAATCCAAGATACACATTCCGGCTATTGCTAGCGAAATGTGGATGTACATTGTTAAAATGTTTCCAGGCTCTTGCATCTGATGGATGAGTCATCTCTCCATCCATCTGAGTATGCTCGACGTGCCATCTCATCCCTCCAGCAGTCTCCTCAAATTGGTACAATCTTTTCAATCTGTCTGTGATTGGTAGGTACCACATCCTTTGGTACGGTACCCTATTACGCCCTCGACCTTGCGGTTTGAATCGTGGCTTCTTACAAAATCGACATTCTTTTAACTTCTCATCATCTCCCCAGTAAATCATGCAGTTGTCGATGCAAACGTCTATCATCTCCGAGGGGAACCCAAGACTATATACCAATTTCTGAATCTGATAATAAGATTCAGCAGACACATTGTCTTTTGGAAAATACTCTTTAAACAAGTCTGCCCATGCATTCATACAATTTTCAGGTAGATTGTGATCAGTTTTAATACTCATCATTCTAGCAGCCAACGACAATTTAGACATACCTTCTCTACAACCACTGTAAATTGGCTCATTCGCAGCTTCTAACATTTCATAAAACGTTTTTGCATCTAAGTTAGGTTCTTCAACTTCATCATCATCATGAGTTACAAATGCATCACCTTTCATATCATGAACCCTATCACAATCTATCATTTGTTTCTCTTGGTGATGATAGTTATTTTCATTACGCAAATGATCAACCGGTTCAACCTGAAAATTGCTATTACTACTGCTACCTTCATTCCTACAACTAGCATCTTCTCCATGTTGATACCAAATATAATAATATGACATGAAATCTATTTATTAAATTCTTCCAAACATTTTCACGAGGGCCTAATTTTGTATTGCAGCATTTCCGACAAGGACATAACATCTTACCACATTCCTGCGTGAGTGGTGTAGAATTTGCTTGATGCATAAACGTCTCCAACCCTTCGAGAAATTATTTCGTCACCCTCCCGTTGTTATCTCTGTGTGAATACATCCACTTACGCAACTCGAAAATATTTCCCGTACCGGACATTTTTTTGTGTTTGATCAAGCTTATAGCTGATTTTTTTTTTTTTGTGTGTGTTTCAAATTAATCACAAATGGTGGTATTTATAGAAATTTTGAATCTGAGCATTTACTAGGAAATTGCTAGGAAAGGTAGGTACAAAACACGTTTTTTATTTAAATTCGATATTTTCTATCCAGTTCCTCCTAATTTCGTAGTAATGTTTTACTAGGACTTTATGATGAAATTTATTACTTCGAATTTACGAGGAAATAGACTTTTTCCACGTAGTTTCCTCGTAAGGGTGCTACGGTCTTACGAGGAAAACTGTTTCTCGTACCTGTATGAGGACCTTACGAGGAAACTAGTTTTCCTCGTAAAACCAAAGTAAATTCGTAGTAAATTTACGAGGAAATATTTTTCTAGGAAAATTTCCTAGTAAATTCTTAGTTTTCTTGTAGTGTAAATATTCCTAACACTTTCACACAGATTATATATCTTTATGATTTGAATAGATAAAGTGTTTGAATATGAATCATGATAAAACTCTTATGTAGAATATTTTTTTAGATCATTAATTAAGTTTTTATTTAATATATTATTAGGTCTTGTTTTTTCAGAATTTAAATATTTACGCTTTGGATTTTAAAAATTTAATTATTTAAAAATTTTAATTATTTTAGATCGCGAGTTAGTTCGTTTAGTTCATGATCTTGATGATTTGAGTTCGAGTTTGTATACGGAAGATCATATAATAAATGAGTTGAGCTGAGTTACCTCATGAAAGATTTGCGCTTACTATGAACCGAGCTGAGTTGAGCAAGCTACCTTATTTTGACACCCCTAACTTTTATCTATGGAAAGAGTTGGTCTTGACACGAATGCATAGTGTTTGTAATTCTTCCTATTATTTGTTTTATTTCACCTTGCTTAGTGTTGTTTGTTTTCTCATTCAGGTGATCCATCTGAGTTAAGATGCAAACCGATGATATCTATTCTATTAAAATAGAGTCATTCTTTTTATCTACAGATACAAGTTGTCATTTAAATTTGGACCATTTCTAGAGTGTTACAAATATGTAACACAAGCCATATAATTAATTGAACCGCATTACTTAAATTAAACCGATGATTATTTATGGGATATAGTCTTGGGCTTTCTTTTGTTTTTAGAACAAATTATATAGTTTGGTTTTTGGGCTTAGTATTAAGGAAACACTCCAAAAAATATTGAATAAACTTTCCATCTTAATAGATCAAAAAATAAATTATAATTTTTAGGCCCAAAAGATATTTAATATTTTTAACAAAACAAAATTGTCTATTATTAATCATTTATTTAAATCATGTACTTTAAAACATGTTAATGTATTTTTATTTAAAATAACAATCACTTTATATTGATAAATTTCAATGGTAACTTTTAAATAATTTATTGTTTAATTTTTCTTAAATAATTTACTGATTTAAAAAATGTAAAGCAAAACCAAAAACCAAATCTAAAAACAAAAATCAAAACCAAAAGATGAAAACACAAGTTATATTTTTTTTGTTTTTTTTTTATTTACAAAATAAACTATTGCAAATTGTTTTTGTCATCTTTTCAGTTTTAAAGTAGATGTTCGATTATTTAGGATTTGTTTGTTGGTAATATCAGTTCAAACTAATTCAACGGATCTAAAAGTTAAAAACACAAACCAAAAGCTGAAAATCAAAAATAGAAACTTAAAAACTAAAAACCAATAACCAATAACCAATAACCAAAATCTAAAAATAAAACTGAAACTAAAACTAATGAAAAACAATCATCACCACAAATTTTGATGAACTGATTTTATACCAAAACCTTCTTTAAGTTAAGACAAAACTCAATTATATAAATTTTTAATCATAAAAAATTTTCGCGCTTTCAAGCGCGGGTCAAAATCTAGTTTTATACATTAAAACACACCATTTAGATGGATCACCCAACTACATTCTTAAAAATTCACCTCAAGGTTTCATCTCAAATATGTGAAAATGAAGTTTATGAATGTTTGATGATTTGGATAAAAATGATAATCAAAATTGTAATACTTGAAAGAGATATTTTGATATTGATTTATGATATCTGAAGTCTATCAAAAATATTTCGACAAATAATCTTGACTTTTTAAAAATTTATATTTTAGCGTATATATTTAGAATAATTGAAATATTTCTTAGTACAAATCACAAATGGGTTTAACGAGGCGAACAAGGGTAAGTACAAACACACTCTCCAAGTCCACCAGTGCTGCGGTCACAGAAGCCATTAGCCATTTGTCCAAAGGTAACCTTGCATTTGGAGGTACAGCTTTTACCTCTTTCACATGGTCCCATACTTGCTGTGCATCCCATATTATGTTCAACTATATCCAACAAAACGATTTTCATACTCTTATAAGTTATAACAATATTGTTGTGATTTTGAATAAATAAATACATCGAACTACAGCATTGGAGATATAGCAAAACTAATTCCAAAATTAAAAATAAATTAAATGGTATGTGAAAGCTTTTGATAAGAACAACCCTTGAAGGTAAATATATATATACGCAATGAAATTATGACAAGAAACACAATATTGTGTATATATAGAGATAGATTTACATGCTAGGCAAAAATGAAAGTATTTGAGCAACATCTATCTTATTAAATTACAAACATTAGGTTAGACCTAACATTTATTTTGTAAATTTTTAAATTAAATACATATTTCTACTTTATAGTTAAACCTACATTAAATCACTAATATTTTTTTTTATATTACTATTCATTTATCCAAACAATATATTTACTTCTCTATACTATTATCCATGTTTCCAAACACTATACACATTTGTTTATACTATTATCCATGTTTTTAAAAAACACTATAATTAATCTTATGTCCAAACAATATACTCATTTTTATACTACTATAGTTAATATTATTTCCAAACAATACAAAATATTAGATCTCACCCTTTATAATAATTCTCACATTTTTCTTTCAAATAATTTCGATAAATAAAAAAAAATTAAATAATATAAAACAACGAAAATATACTTTTTTACATGTTTAAATATCAGTTATCAACCGGTTAGTCTTGAGTTTTAGAAATTTTTAAAATATGGATATTTAAAAAAACAAAATTGAATTATCGGATCACCGATTTAACTGTGGTTCGGGTTAAATTTAAAAATACTGATTTAAATGCAAAAATATTATAAATACATAAATTCTTTCAAATTACCGAAATATTTGTTAAGTTATTTATGAATTTTTATCATAAAATATTCCGCGCTTGCAAAGTTAAGACCAAAGTTAAATTTGAATTTCACATAACCTATATAATAAAGGTTAAGGCCAAAAATGCTAGAAATTTGTATATTATTTTAAAAAATTTGGATAATTATCAACATAACAAGTAACTAAACTACCAACTTATTTTTTTAAGTAGAATTTGATTTTTCACTTCGAACAAACGTATAAAATTAAAATTTTCACTGCACAGCTATATCTACATAACACATTGCTTGACGCTATTAATACAAAAGACAGTTTTGATATTGTTCTTTAAACATAAAATCGAATTAGACAAACTTAAAACTATATAAAACTAAATTATATAAAATACATCCGAAAAATAAAACTTGCGCAGATGTACGAATTATGATCTAGTTTACTAATAAATATGGAGATAAATGCATACCTAAGGCAAACATAAGAAGAAAGATGATGGGGAGAACAAGTGTAGAACTTGTATTAGCCATATTTGTTTTCTGCCTTTTATTACAAATGGTGATTTTAGTTGGTAAATATGAAAATATGGGTGACAACTAAAAGGATATTTATAGAGTTCTTAAAACGATCCAATCGGAAATATATGTTTTACCATGGTATATTTGAACACAAATCTTTGACTGTGATTTTATGTGTATGAACATGGAAAGTTGACTGTGATTTTATGTCTTATGAACATGGAAAGTTCACAGATGTCATGCTACTATAGTCACTCTTCCTCATTCTAGAGCTATCCCATGACGTAATACAATGTATTACTTTTTTCTGATAGTGATGTCATCTTCAATCTTAAAATCAACCCAAATATTGATTGTGGGTCATTGAAACATTCATCTTATCTATAGGGTAGCCTCAACATGAAGCTACTACACCGGTCTTTCTTTATATAAATACTAGGATAAGATCTGCGCTTTGCGCATAATAAATTTATATAAAAACTATTTAAAAATATTATATGGAAAATAAATCTATATTCTTGATTGAATTAATAGTTTGATCTTTAAATTTCTTTTGTTAATTACATAATTTTTTTACTAATGAGTTGATCTCATTTTTAAAAATGTTAATGTTAAAATATCACTTACTGCAAAGAACCTAACAAAATCTCGGGTCTATTTGATTACAATGAAACTGTGTCAGCTCGGTCTTATATCATGATTTAGCAATTTAAAAACTGATTATGGTTATGAGAAGTTTACGTTCACGTGCCAATCATATCTATATTCAATATATTTTTTGTATCTTTTTTCATTTTGGTTATTGCTCAGTATAGATATTGATTTTGAAGTTTATTCTCATTTCGTTTATTTGTTTTCGCCTAAAATTTAAATAATGCTTAAGATTTAAAATAATTAAAGAGATACATAATTATGTTAAGATCTGCACTTTTTACAGAATAAGTATTTTTTTATTTTTTATTTATTTTATGTTTTCTGCATATTATGAAATAATAAAATAATAAGTATATATATATTAAATAACTAAGAAATAAGTTACTATTATGTAATAAATTGGTGTGTGCATATAAATCTAATGATCACTCTTGTTTATTTCGCAAGTAGGGTAAATAAATCAAAATATCAATCTTATCTATCGTATATAATATATAATTAAATTTAAATGAAATTATATATAGCACAATTTTAATATGTATATTTATTAAATGAGGTTTCTACTCATATGATTTTATGATTATTTACATATTTGTATAACAAAATTTTACACCAATGAATTTTTTTTAATGTGAGATGTTTAGTAGTTTCAATAATTTCTAATCATTTAAAAAAAACAATGACATATTTTAAATTAAAATATTAACTTCTCAATATATGTTCGATGCAAATATCAAAATATTAGTATGTATTTTCATATGATGTATAGTTTAATTTAAATGATAGGAAATATATATATATATATATATATATATATATATTAACAGAAAACCTTTTAAAATAAAATTATTTTTTCATTTTCTCTTATATTAATTGTATGTTAATATAGAAAAAAATTTAAACCTTGATCATAAAATCTTATGTGCGACTTTTAACAGTTTTAGTAATTTATACTCGTTTAAAAAAATTCAAAATACAACATACACAAAAAAAAATTAGATTTTTATTAATCATTAATGTAATTGTGTAATTTATTTTAATAATAAAGAAATAAACAAAATGATAAAAGTTATAGAGATTGTTATCAAATATTTATTGTTTAAATCATCAATTGACATATATATATTTTAATTACATTAGGTAATTCCGTAGGTTTTATTTAAGGAAAGCATGCAAAACAATAAATATTTGATATATGCGACCAACTATAGTGTACGAAATATTATATTGCTAGAGAGTATATTTTTTAGACTATACATTATGTTACTTGCTCTAGAATCCTTTTAAACTGAAATATAAGATATAGAGATGTGCCACGTAGGATGAAGTTATTTTTTAATTAATACAAACTTAAGGTTACAATTTTTCAAATGTTTCTCAATTGATATATAGGGGTTATTTGTTTTGGTTTGTTAATTTTTTAGAATGGATTTTAAATGGCAATATATATTCTGTTAGTTTGTTAGTTTTGTAGATCTAATTTTAGATTATGTATAGTTTGTTTTTTAAAAATCGACAATGTTTGTCATTCATACAAACTAGATATTTTTTCCCGCACATGTGGACATAATAATGTTATATTTACTTATTAATACATATTTTATAAATTAAATATGATGATGATAAATGTTTAAAAAAAATCAGATTACTTATATATGAAAAAATATTAATTTGGGTATTCTATAGAAGTTTATCTTAAGAAAATATATGTGTTTTATACTCTATCATATAGTCAACAATGGTGAAATTAATTAGAACTAAAGAATCTCTTTGAAATAACTTAAATCGAAAGTTACCAAAAGAACGTTCATTAACAAACAAAAGCACGAAGCCTCGTTCCATAAATATAAATTACAAAATAAGTACTAACACTAAATTATATAATTAATAAAGAAAGAAAAAAAAATACTTACAACGGTATCAACAAAAACCAATTCAATTAAAATGATTTTTGAATTTTTGTCTGTATTTTAAAGTTCAAACACCTTAAATGTCATCTTGTGGTAATATCTAACTTGATAAATATTCCTAATAAAAACAAGAAAAATGGACTTCCTTTTTCAAAAGACATTGTTTGAAAGTTATTATAAGCGGGCATAAGTTTGGTATATATTGATTAAATTATGATTACAATATACTATAATACTACCATAAAATCAATAATTATGATATAATAAAATATATACTAATATAGAACCGACATCATAAATAGTTTCTTTTTATCAATATTTACATATTATTATAATATAGCTTAGATTACGATAAATATCACATACATCATTTTGATTATAATTGTGTTCTACTCGTAAAAGTTTCAAGGTTAAGTAAAATAGTTATATATATATAACTACAAAGTTTGAATTAATAATATAGTATTGCAATTAATAAATTAATGAATCAGCTAAAAATTACACAAACATGACACATAAGAAAAATAACCTAAATTATAGAGAACATGATTATATATTTAATTACAAAGTTTGAATTAATAATAGTATTTAAATTTATAAATTAACGAATTAGATAAAAATTACTTAAAACATGAAACATAAACAAACAAAAAAAACCTAAAATCATGGAGAACATGACACAAAGTATAAATTCACTTCTCAAAAAATAGTATAGATATATAGATATTTAATCTTGCTTTGTTGGTTAGTTGATAATGATATCATATTGGTTAGTTTATAATCTCTTATAAAACTCAAAAAATATGAAATAATGGAGATTTTGTGGAAATATATTTGTTAGAGTACTTATATAACAACACCCAAAAATATTGAATAAGATGAGAGAATCTAATTTAGATTATGTATAGTTTGTTTCAAACCAAACCAAACTGAAATAGAGAAATTGGTTTAGATTTGGTAGTACCAAATAATCCGAATGGATGTTAATTTTTAAGAAACCGCAGTATACATATATAGTTTGGTATATCCAAACGATCCAAAAGAAGAAACGGAAGAACCC